CCTTCGGGCAGACTCCTTAAATAGGTAATATAGAAAAGTTATACATGTAGCCAATTGTATGCTCTCCTGTAGTGGTTTATTGAACCACAATACCGATAAGTGATTAATAAAAGTTAAAAGATCAAAGAGGTCACCTTAATACCAAAAAAAAAAATAAATAAATAAATTTGTTTGTTTGTATAAAGTTGGTATGCAAAACCTATAAATACTAAGAGTTTAATGAATTTATAAGGTAAAAATAGTACAATATAATAATTAAATAGGTAACTTCTATAATTGCAAATATTAGATAACTATAGTATATTACATAAATTAAATTAACTATATATAAGACAAAACATGTTTTAGTAAATTTTTTGTCAAAAATAAAGTAGTTCTAAGAGTATTAATAAACATCAAAAACTTGAATAGACTGTATTTTGAAAATGTTTTTATAATACAAGAAAGTTGTATATATAAAAGGTTTAAATAAGTAAGACCTGTAGTTGGCATGCATGTATAGCATCTAATATAAAATATGTATAGTAATACATAGGCAAATTATTTAAATTAAGCACCAATAGTACATGTAACTAGTTGTAACCTCCAATGTAAGGTAACTCTTAGATGCACTCATGTCTTATAAAAACTTAAATAAAAATATTACTTTTCAAAAATAAAACCTTTAATTAAAAAAAAAAACTAGTAAATAATTTATTTATAAAAATCTAAGTTTTTACTTAATTATTTTAAAAAAATTATATAGAATTTTATAATCTTTTTTTTATTTAAAGTCTATATTTAATGAATCTATAATATTATTTTTAACTTGTTATCTTTTTTAATCAATTTGTTATAATTTTTTAAAAAGTGTTTACACTTATATAGTAGACCACTGTAGTATAAATATCTACTGAATTTACTTACTTGGCAAATTAGTGTCTTTTTATAGAATACAAGAAAAAATTAACTAATGAAAATACAAAAAAATACAATTTATAAAACACAAAAATGTAATTCGTATATGTATTACTTTTAGCAAAAAGAGTTATAAATTTTAGACTTGCTTATTGATTTTTTCATCTTCTAATCACTTTGCCACACCAATCTAGTATACATTTTCTGAATGCTACAGTAATATTATAACATGATATTATAGTAATGCCATTATACTGTAGTTCAGTAAATATGGCAACATAATTAGAGTAGTATTATTATTTGTTTCTGTGCCATAATGGATCAATAGTATTAGTATATATGAATTTTAGCATTGCTTATATTTTCAAATAATGATCCCAAATTTCAGCATTAATTATAACAATTTTTATATTACAAAATAAGCTTTTAATATGAAAGACCTCAAATAATATTAGCTTTAAAAGATTAATTTGATTAAGCTTATGTTAAGTAAATTATTTTAACTTTTATAAGAATTAATATACAGTATTTTCAATATGTTATTAGCTACCAGGCAAGATTTAGAAATATCAAGCAAATTTTTAAGCATTAAAATTTTTGATTGTGGTTTGTTTAAGAATGTTCATTTTCTGCAAAATATAGAATATTGCAGAAATTTGCAAAAACTTTAAATTTATTTGTTTTTACAAAATTAGATTTTATTACAAATTTCTACAATAAAAATTCAATTTTTGTAATTTATTTAAATTTTAAGTCAATTCTGTAATTGCAGATAATTACAAATGAGTCAAAGTTTACTGTATTGAAAAATGATGAAAAATGTAATAATTAATTAGATTAACATTTTTCAATGATGTATTGTTAGGCATATAAGTAATTCTTGTGGTAATAAAGGTTTTGTTATTGCCTGCCTTGCATTATTAGGCTGGCTCTTCTCTTGCCCACCTACCCAAATGCAAAAAGAGAGAGAGAATATAACCACATATTTCTATTGTTTCAGATAAATATCAATTTTAACAAATACTAAATTTTTTTCTCTTTTTCAGCGTACTTCGTTTAAAAGTAGGCACTTAATTAGACTGTTTCTTCAGGACTACAAGCCTCTGGGGTTCCGCTTATTTCACCGACTCTCATTTTGTAGACACAACATTTCACCGACAGCTCATTTCACAGATAAGTAATTCTGGTCATTGTTAGGTTCGAATCAAAGTTAAGGTTAGTGTAATTTATATTAGTAAAATGATTTGTCAGTGAAATAAACTGTCAGTGAAATGAACTTGTCGGTGAATTTATTGTCAGTGAAATAAAGGTGTAATCAGCCTCTGCGACTGTAAATAGTGCAAAGACCTTGTAAGTTTGAATTATTGATCATTGACTATGACTTGTGTTCATCTTGATGGCCTTAAGATAGTAACAACTTATTGACTAATCAAAGGCTCTAAGACTGTATAACAGTGCAAAGAGCTGTCGATTCTAATTATGATTTTGGGCAAGCATAAGGATTTTACTCAATTAAAATCGCCAGTCACGTTGGATGATGCATTTAAGGTTCTATGACTACATGATAGTGAACGACCTTAAGCCGATACATGTCAAATAAAGCCAAACGACTTGATATTTTGACCACTATTTGAGCACTATTTGAGCAAAAAGAAAGAGAAAGTAATGAAAAAAAACCAAACAAGGATAAAACAATTCTCTTCCTTTGCTATTTTCAGTATGAAATCGAATTCGATGTAAGCAATTAATGTGAGATATTACAATATATGGGTTGCATTTGTATAGTTAGTACTATGAATTGTATTTGATTAGCTGGTGGCATAAATTGAATTAAATTTGAATTACAATTGAGCAATAATAATTAATAGAAGATTTCATAATGGTTTTTTTGAAAATAAGTGAGAGTTTATAAGATCCTGCTTTTATTTTTAAGATTCTGACTTAGCAAATTAAATAGAATAAAATTAGCTTTTTTTTTGATAGTATCTCCCGTGTAAACGATTATGCAAATAAGTCTACACGTTAAAAACAATAGGATTTATGTATCACATATTTCAAGGTAAATACGTCACTTATTTTATCTGAAATCAGATGCCAGATTATTGATCATGCTTTTTGTTGATTTAAAATACAAATCAATTCTATATCATTGATTAGTCCAATTTAACTTTTGTTGATTTAATCAGAATATCCCTAATTTTTTCTTATACGTATAATGATTTTTATATTATTCTTATATTTATTTAACATTTTATCAGTTAGGTTATATTTATAACGTTATTATACGAAAAGATTTACTAATTATAGTTCAGCCGTTTTATCTTTAAGTATAGAATTTCGTTTCCAATTTTAGGTTTCGTATTTCGTCAAAAGGCTTGGGTTTTGCCACCACTTAAAAAAAGATTTCACCTAACAACTATAGCTCAGTGTATTTATTACAATAATACTAAATTAGGTACGCATGCACGACCTGTTGCTTCGCTAAAAACTAAACTATGAAGATAAATATAACACAAAATAAGGAAAAAACTAAATGCAGCTCTTAATGGGTCAGGGATATCGATATTGATCCTGATGAAACTATATTTGCATATCGTTTCTGGTAGGTTCTATAAAGAATATTCTCTCTACAGATCTAGAACGATAACGACAGAATTTCTTAACAGAAATTGGATTATCGTTGCACATTTTAAAAATTATTTATATTATTTAGTAATCTAAACATAATCCACGTGAATCCAATGGTTTTAATATACAGTAATAGATATTAATATACATTGCTATATTAAGCATGGAAAACATTATTAGTTAAATTAGCAATGAAACGTTAAAATTGAAGACTTTGAAAAGATAATTTTTTGGTTAAATTTCTGATAATATTACATCTGTAACATTTTTTATTGAAAAGTTTTCGCCATCTATTCCATCAAAATCTGATTCTCGCGATTTAATTCTGAAATCACACATTGTATAAATAACAATGTTTTCTAAGTGATGTTTGTTCACAGAACACATGTAGTTTTTTTTAATAATGCTGTCAAATAAACAGTTTATCTTGCAAGAAAATTGTTCAGTGTTCACATTAATTACACATGTTACAAATGTTGTGCACATGTATAAATAACTATAAATAGTTGGTTCACTAAATGATTATTCTATCGCGTTTAGCTATTTAGCTTAATGCTACTATATAATTATGATAATTATGTTGTATTTTAGTTTTTATGTCATTTCTTTTTTCTTAAATATTATTTTTACTTATGCTTTTATTCCAAATGGAAGATTAGTTCATTCTTCAGTTCTTTTAGATAGGAAAATCTATTTTAGTGGTGGATCTATTATTGGTGCTAATGCTTCTTCTAGTAGCACATCGAATGAATTTTTTTATTTGAATGTTTCTAAACCATTTACAACAACAGATGATGCCTTAATGCCATGGAATGACCTTACTAATACCAACGGCCCTTTGAAAGCTTCGGCTACAGCGTGTGTTGGTGGAAAAAATAATGATATGATTTTTATTTTTGGTGGCTTTCCTTATGGTCAATCTTTTGTTAATCAATTTGACCAAAGTAAACAGCAGTGGACTAATGTCACAACTACTGGAAGTGCTCCCTCGGATAGAGATAGTATTTCATGTGCTAAATTTAATAATGGTTCAATTGCTATTTTTAGTGGTTGGAATGTGCAAAATGATCTTTGGATATTCAATACATTAACATTAACATGGAGTTTAGGCAACGCAACAAATACACCACCAGCCCGGTATGGTTATCGTGCGATAACTTTACCTGATGATAATATTTTATATATTGGTGGACGTAGTCCTGCTGATTCTTCATTTTTTCCAATGAATAATGTAGGTCTATGTTTAAATAACATTGTTTCTTCAGACTTTAAGTATTAATGATTAGTAGTTCCCATTACTTAATACAAAATCTAATACGTGGACAAATGTGGTACGTAATAAATAAATCCAATTTTTCATAATGACTTATCAATTAATAACATAACCTTTATATTTCATTAGAGTGCATCTGGACCAACTCCTCCTGTTCGTTATTATTTCTCGGCGGTATTAAGTATGTCATTTAACAATATTAAAGCTTTCTTCAACTGTATTAAAGCTTTCTTCAACTGTATTAAAGCTTTCTTCAACTGTATTAACCGATCATTTAAATTGAAAGCTCCTGACGGACGTATTATAATTTTTGGTGGTTTTAATGCAACTGTATCTTTCGGTGATCTATGGGTCTTAGATATAACAACATATCAATGGTCAGCTGGAAACATTTTAAACTCAATTGCGGATTTAGCTCTTCGAGGATATAGTGCGACATTAGTGGATAATAATTATATGTTTATTTCTTTTGGTAAAATTTTTATTTATTTTTTATGTTTATAAATAAATTCTTTATTTAAACTCGTTAATCTTTATTTGTTTAACAGGTAAATTTACAAATGAAAGTTATTCGTCAAAAATATTTATGCTAGACATTAGCCAAAAAGATTCCTATAAATGGGTTACTGAATTTATTGTTACTCCAAGTACTACAATTTCAAGTAATACAATTCCAAGTAATACAATTCTAACGACTCCAACACCAAATACTACAACTCAAAGTAGTACATCTAGTTCGGAATTTGGAAGCTCTAAAAGTACTAGCTTTATTATTGTGGCTATCATTGGTGGTACCATTTCTTTAGTAATAATCACGATTGCCATTATTTTAACTCTAAAACATATTGATAAATATAAATAAATAAATTTAAATTTATTCTAAACAATATACAGTCTCGTTCACTCAATGCAAAAAAACATTTGGTTCAATTCTTAATGGTTTTGTCTAAATCTACAACCGATTCTTGATATCTATGCAGCATGCGATAGGTTGTTCATGTCGTTTTAATGCAAGTGCGTTATTTGGAACGATTTCAATAATTCATTTAAATATAAAACTATTCTTTATATTTTTCCATAATACGAAAAGTTTTTTCCCTCTAATTTTCTAATCTACTTAGACTTGCAATTGATTCAACGTATTTACATATCTTCCTAGAAGCCTAATTTTGTGGCCCGCAATTAGGTTTAAAAATTTTTTTCCGGCTCGGCCGCAGTTATAAATTTTCTGTTACAGCTGTTATCATTATTCCTAGGACACCTTGTGAAAAATTAACCGAGTGATTATTCTGCCGAATCGATAAATTATTGATTTTGACATGATCAATGTGATCACAACATTATCATTACACATGACAAATAACGGAGGCCGGTTGATGTATGGGCCCTACGGGGCCCAGCCATCTCCCGGTCAAATTCTGAACCAAATACGACAGTTATTGGTGCGTAGCATCTAATAACGGTATTATCCGGCATCTGACGACGACCGGGACTTACAATTCGAATTGACGATTGAGTAAACTTACGATAAATATATAATAATGACTCGAATCGTAATAAGCTCATAGTTTATTTAACAATAAATATGATAAATATGTAATATCAAATAAATAAATAAATTCGATGTAATTTAATATAAAATAAATTTTTATATAAACATCTCTTGTGATTTCAAGTTAATTAGTTCTTTCTTTTTCGCTTTCGCTTTTTCTCTTTCAATACAAAAAAAAAAAAGGTAACCAAAAAAGCTAGATATAATAAACCCATAGAAGAAGAAATTATCAAAATTATTAATGGTAAAATACCTGAAAAGGGTGGGTTAAGATATTGAAAAATTGGAGATCAGAAGTATGATATGGTTATGAAATCAAAATGATAAACAACAGACAACAGTTAGAATGTGAAATGGTTGAATTTGTTTAAGGGATTAAACTGATTCATACCCAGACAGAATACTCACCATCTTCACTTATGAACTGTACAACTTTATTAAGTGTTTATATTTTTAAGCATCTTGGATCAGTTAATAAATTCAATATTAGTAATCATGAAGAATTTTCATAATTATAAGAGATGTTAATGGCATGATGAAACAATTAAAAAAAAAAAAAACAAGGAACCATATCATGCTATCATGATCATTTAACAGATGAATTAAAAAAGATTTCATTAATCCTGAGGGATTACTTTATCATGTTTTTATGTGGAGTTGTCTTCTTTTTCAACCACGAGGTGAACATTATAAAATTTTAACAATTCAATTTACTTTTACATCTAATAGAAGGATGCAATTTGTAAAAAATTATCAAAAAAATGATCAAAGAGGAGTAGATGGTTGCTCTGATGGATGCCCTTATTATTCCTATTCGACCCGATCCTGAGAACTACTGCGGACCCATGATTTTAACTATTATTTTTCTAAATGACCAACAAACTCTAGTTTTTTGTCTCTTTATTTAAAAATTAACAAACAGACTAAGAGTAAGTTTTATCAAATATTATTTATTAACATTACATAACAATATTAATCCTTTACCAGGAACGGAGTAAAACGAAGTGTATGGTTATACGGAGAGTGAAATGATGTGTACAAATACAAGCTTCAGATTGGATATAGATCTAAATGGTATGGTATCTTAATTTATATCTTGTTTATCTGACACGTGTTATATATAAGGTAGCTGCGTGACGCTGTCAGGAACGATAAATTTAGTCATTAATCAGCAGTATATAACTTGCAACTAGTATTGTAGGTGAAACATTATAGGGATAACTTTAATCACAATAATCGAGCAACAACCCAATTAAATCGAGAGAGCTGTCTGGAAATATCAGATTATAAATAACGATCATTATCGATTAAATTTAACCCAAAATATATTTATATAGAAAAGATAAATATAAATACAAAAAATAAACATAGATTTATGAATCAACATATGTACTAGGTACTACTAACAGAGGAGAAAATTGGCAAATACTGAGATCTGTAAAAGATTAATTTTTTATATAATACAAGAAAATACAACTTTAAAGTGATATATTGGAGGATACTACCTCATATAAAAGATAACCTTTGGTAAAAGATTCTTAAAAACAGTCGATTTCTATCCATTTTGCAACATATTTATAAATGATAAAAATTTCCAGCCCAATCACTACGCTATAACGAAGGCAGCCTGTTCTTTTATAACATTTAAAGAAGTAAAATATAGCTTTTAATATCTCTATCAATTTTCAAACAAAACTCTCATTACAATTAAATACAATTTTATCCTTTGCAAATCCAACTTCTGAATTTTCTTAAACTAACCGCCGTCAATTCTTTGTTTATATTTTGTGCACTTCCCAATAGTTCAGTTTGTCTCGCATTAGTGTTGTTATTATTCATGTCGAAACAATTTTGATCATTTATAGACATTCCAGCCATATTTGCATTAACTTGGCTTAATGGTGGTGCAATTAGAGTACTACTGTTCGGAGTATTTAAACAATTATTTACAACATTCACAGGTTTTTTGCTAACAATGACCTTAAGCGCGTCCAGACAAGACTGTTGCGAGGGATCTACACCCCGTATCCACAACATGATGTCAAGTCTTTTACGAATATTAGCGAGATCTGGTCGTTTTCTCGGATCATTATCCCAAGCTTGTTGATAAAGTTCTTGATATTCAGTTGGTGTCCCAAGAATTGGAAGTTCTCTTCCAAATTTAACCACTTTACTAACTATTTCTAATACACTCTGATCTTTGAAAGGAGGTATACCACTAGATATTTCCCAGAGTAATACCCCTAAGCTATAGATATCTGAAGCTTTGTCTCGTACATATATTGGATTTTTGAAACATTTTGGTTCCACGTACGCAGTCATCCCCGCTATGGCTGAATTTGAACTAACGAGACTCGATTTTGATAATCTAAAATCAGTGATCATAACTTTACCATTGTGTACCATTATGTTTTTTGAATGCTTTAAAATAAAAAGACAATTAAAATAATATATATATATATATATACATTAATATATAAAAATAAAAAAGATTTCTTACTAAATTTCTGTGCAAAATATTTTCTGAATGAATAACATGAAGGCCGCTAGCAATTTGTTTTCCTATTGAAATTTTAGTTATCCAGTCAAGTTTTTCAAAATTATTACGAAGGAAATCTCTAAGGTTTCCACCATCAGCATACTGCAAGACCATGAAATATTGAGAAGACGTTTGATCTTTTTATATAAAATAATTTTCAAAAATAACGTTAAAAAAGCATATTTCATTTGAGTATTCCATAACTATATGGTATAATATTGAAATCTGAAAGATTTTTTTAATAATTTATGTACTTATAATAATTTGGATAGTATATATCAATTTCTATTAATAATCCATTTTTATATGTAGAGGACAAATTTATTACTTTTTTCAAATGCTTTAGTATATAGCCACCATTAAACAAAGTTACGTTAAAAATTTTAATATTTAATTTCTTCATATAAACTAATTCCGAATTTTAAATAATAAAAAATACTGTAACTTTGTTATAAATGTGCTTGAAAATTATAATATACTAAAGTATTTGAGAAAGTAATGTTATTTATCCTCTACATTTAAAAAGTAAATAACCCTTTTGTTGTAATTTTTACAAATGTATGACTTATTAACAATCCACACATAAAGTAGTTTGATCAACATAGTTAACAAAACAAATAACATTTCATGTTTAAAAAAGGATCTCACCGTAACTAATGCCATAAAATCGAATAACATGATCGCAAAAATCTAAATGTCTAATAAATTTGAGCTATATTTTTATAATTGCACTAAATGAGATATAGTTTTACAAATTTATATATAATGGTGCAATGACCAAGCCAAATATCAACTATAAATACCTCACGAACAAAATTGTCAAGTGATTCTTTAGATCCGGAGGCGGGACTATGCGTTTTTAAAGCAACAAAACTTTCACCATTTGTCCAGTATGCCTTCAAAACCTCACTAGACGCATCTCGTGCAACTGGACTGATATTATAAAAATCTTTGTAATTTATTGATCTTATGTTGCCATTTTTTATTGCATCGTCTAGCCATTTTTTTAACATTTTAAAAATCTGAGAGAAGGAATATGTGAAGAAAGATAAGAATATAGTGAACAGCTTTTTTATATAAAGGTTTGGTTTGTACTTTATTGTCTATTATTTGTTTTGAGAATTTAACGTTAACTTCTTTTACAAATTTGAATTTTGACCGATTCACTTTCCCTTATATAGTCACGCTGTGTAATAAGTTATACGTGTACTTACGTACGTACGTACATACTTGCATTACTTTTACTGTCCGACATATTAATTAATGCCGGGAATTATAGTAAAAATTAGTAGTACAATAAACAGTCGCATGTGAATTTGCCATCTATCTATCTGAAGCAACTACTATTTGGAACACTACAATTACTATTTGAAGTAGCTACTTTATATAGTTAAAATACCTACTTCAAAATAAACAATCCTTATATTAAAGAAGCTTTTTATTTGAAGTTACTACGTATTCTAGATATCTAAAGTTGCTACTTTATATATTTAAAGTGCGATTTTAAATACCTAGCTGAGTGCTGTAAGAAAGGGAGAAATCAACAAAAAAAAGATTTTCGGAAAATCATTTTTATGTTAGAAATTTTATAACTCATAAGAAATTGAGGTCTATACTGCAAAATTCATTAATACAACTGCTTTGTGTTTTAAGTGAAAAATGAACCTGATCTTATCGCCCTTTACAAGTTAGTATGTATAGAAAATTTTATGCATCACATATTACGCATAATCTGAAAAACAGAAATTTAGAATTTAATATCAAAACACAAGTTTTTATTGGCTAAAAATGATATTATTTAGTTATATACCCAGAATTATCAAATATCTAATTGTAAATAATTTTTTTTTAAAATGTTGGGTAAAGATTTTCCTAATTAGTGTTGTAACTCAAACTAATTTGGACGTCCAAACCATGTTAATTAGCATTACATAATTTTGGAAATAAGAAAAAAGTTGTCAAAACTTATACTAATTATCACAGGTTTAGAACATTCCAAATAGGTTTGGTTACATATACATTTCTAATATTAACATGGTCAGTTTAAAACTTTATAACTTTAGGATTGAAAGTATTGATTATTTCATTAAACATAATATACTAATTTGATACATTTGATTAAAATGTAATTACATAAAATTTTATATATTAACTTGCAATTAAAAATAAATATATTTAATATTTGAAACTAGTTAATTTTTTTTAAAAAAATTAAAAATTTGAAATTTTTGATATATTTAAAAATTAACTAATTAAAATTAAGTATTTTTTGTATTATTATACAAGTTTCTTGACATATAAACTTGCAAAATTTTAATTATAATTATTATATAATAAAAAAGTTATAATAAAAAATTACTTATTTATTTAAATTAGTTTATTATTTAAATAATTAATAATTTTATTTAGTAAATTTAATAATATGATCAAACTTTTATATAGTTACTCTTTATATAATTACAAATTATTTTTATAAATTTATTAACCTTTTTTACTATTATTTTTATATTATAATTATTATCACAATTTATTTATATAAAACTATTTTTATATATAATCATATAAACTAAATGTTAAAACATTAAAGCAGTTATTATCTTATTAAAAGATACAACCATTATAGTTAATAAAGATAATAATATAAGTAGGCAGGTAGGCAAATCTATTTATATAGAAAGTTAGGATAATGATGGTCAAACTCAATATACAGGTCAGACTATAGTATTTTACATAGCTGTAAGAGCTAAACATATAATGATTGACCTTGTAAAAGACAATTTTGAAAAATTATTTATAACATTTTTAATCTTTTATAATCTTTATACATATTTTAACAAATTCTATCTTTATTATTATTGACCATTTCTCTCTTATGATCAAACTATTCAAATCTTAATTTAATATATTAACAAATATAACAACAACAAAACTATATCTAGTATTACATTTTCTATTAATTCATCTTATAATAAAAATCATATATACCTTTCTAATGATATTTTTTTATCAGATTATATTATTATTGTTCTATATCTTATTCTTTTATTTTACAATCTATCTCTTATATCTAATTTTTTTAATTCTATCTCTATTATACCTGATCTATTTCTTGATTATTATTCTCAAATTCTTTCTAATCATAGTTCTTCTTTACCTTTATTCAATTTAACCTCACATTATTTTTATCTTAATATTGTCATACATAATATTAGAAGTTTTAAATGGGTATGGGTCCCATAGCTTAGCGGTTAAGCTCCCATGCCCCCACAGACAAGGTCAACGGTTCAAGTCCGGCT